CATCTGCAGCAGCATCCTCATCATGAGCGGCAGCATTATCATTGGCATCATCCTCAGCATCATCAGCACCATCACCATCATCATCTGCAGCATCATCAACATCAGCATCATCATCACCATCATCATCAGCATCATCACGTCGCCAGTTCCACTCCCCCTCCCGCTCCTCCACATATCAACCTCTGGCCTCTGGCCAACAACTACGACGACGAGAACAAGGAAGACGACGAGAATGAGGACAAGTAAGCCCTCCCCAACCGTCTCCCCCGCGTCCTCTTCCCTCCCTCCACTTCGTTTTCCGCCCCTCCTCGTCTGTGTCTTCGTCATCGTCCCCCTCCTCCCTTGCTTGTCCTCCATCTCCTCCCCCCTCCTTCTCCTCCTCCTCCTCCTCCTCCTCCTCCTCCTCCTCCTCCTCCTCATTCTCCCCCTTCACCCCCTTCTCCTCCTCGTCCTCCCCCTCCTTCACTCCTCCTCCTCCCCCTCCTTCACTCCTCCTCCTCCTTCTAATCCTCCTCTGAGGGGCAAACCTTAGGAGGGGGGGGGGGGGCTGGCCAAGGGGGGGTCGGCTTGTGCGCCCAATGTCGGAACCGCACGTTCCTGCGCAGGGCGGGCTGTCTGACCCCCTACCGGCGATGAGTGGGCAGTTCGGGGGGGGTTCATACAGGACCCCAATCCAAAGAGTCAAGCTCGCGGGGCACTGCACTTAAACTCGATGCATTAAATCGGTGGTGGACAAACCTCTCTTTAGTAACCCTCCCCTTCGTGAAAACGGCCTGGGACCGAAACCGACGGAACTGGACCCGCAAAAAATGACGGCCGCGACGCCCTCTCGCGAACCGAAAACGGCCAATTCCTTAATCGACGTGTCGGGGTAGGAGGTCTATCAACCTCCGTTTAAACTGCCAACCTGACCTTCTCGACGCCTGATGGTCTTCGGATCCAAACTGAAAACCCTAAACCCTAAACCCTAAACCCTAAACCCTAAACCCTAAACCCTAAACCCTAAACCCTAAACCCTGCTGGGCCTCTGGTGGCCGCTCGGGAGGATCTGGGCACCCCCGGCCCAGGCACCGGCGGCCGGAGAGCATTCCGAGGCTGGAAAGCCGCGGAGAGACAGCGAGAGAGTCCGAGGCCCTCCAACCCGAAACACCCCCGAGCGTACACCACGCGAAATGGTTAAGAAATCATGGGTTAAGAAAGTCATGGTCTCAGAACTTGAATAAAAACCCAACGTTTCTATCAAAATCTTAGGATTTACATTGAAACGTTAAGAATAATCGAGACTCTGGACGAAAACTTAGGTTTTCTTAAGCATCGCCTAAGGTGTACAGTCAAAACGTGTATTATATAGACGGGTGGCAAGGACGCAGGACCCTTGCAGGCCGAAGCTTGGACTCTTGGGGCGGCGGGGGACCAGTGAAGACGGCAAAGGACGGGCCGCAGAGGCAAGGACACCAGGGTACCCTAGATGAAGGCGCGCGTCCTTACTGAACGTGTTGACCGTATCCCCCCCTGCCGTTGCCCTTGGCCCTCCTTCTCTCAAAGGGGCCAAGTGAACACAAATAAATCTCCTCCTCCTCCTCCACAAGTACACAATTCCCTCCGCGTACTGTTTTCTTGAAACACAAGATTCCTGGGCGTTGGGTTTCCGCTTGGATTTTTTCAAAATTCTGCTACGGCTGAAGCGCTGGCCTCATGTTCGTGCTTCCGCTTATTCCGAATCGTGCTCCCGCTGCAGCGCTGGCCTCCTTTCCGTGCGTCTGCTCTTTCCGAATCGTGCTCACGCTGCAGCGCTGGCCTCATTTCCGCGCTTCCGCTCATTCCGAATCGTGCTCCCGCTGCAGCGGCTGGCGTCATTATTTCCGATGCCATGCCACGGCATGCAATGCAATGCTATGTTGTGTTCCACTGTACAGTGCCATGCCTTCAGCTGCAATGCTAGGATATGCAGTGCTCGACTACGCAGTGCCACGACATGCTATGCCATGCTACGCGTTGATGTTCAACGCCATGCTATGCCATGTTCTGTTCTGTGCCGCTGTGCGATGCCACTATTTGCGTTGCAATGCTTTGTGATGAAATTCTTCAATGCGCAACGCCACGCCATGCTATGACATACTACGCTCTGCCATGCTCTTCTACGCCCTGCTATGCCGTGCTCTACGATGCATCGCGCACCCTCTCGTGATCATTGCCCTGCTCGACATCCGATTGTGCGAATAGAGAGGAGATCTACGCCATGGTAAGGGATGGGAGGGAGGGGTGAGACATTAGGTATGACACGAGCGCACCTAGCTTGTCCTCCTCCTCCTCCTCCTCCTCATTATCATCATCATCGTCATCATCATCAGCATCATCATCGTCATCATCATAATGATCATCATCATCAGAATCGTAATCATCATCATCAGCATAAGCATCATCATCGTCATCATCATTATCGTAATCGTCATCATCATCATCATCATCATCATCATGATCATCATCATCATCATCATCATCATCATCAGAATCATCATCATCACCCTCCCCTCCCCCGCTCCCTCCCCCTTCCACTTCTGCTTCTCCTCCACCTCCTCCTCCTCCGCCTCCTCCTCCACAAGTACACAATTTGAATGATACTCTCCTCTCTCCCCTGATGACGTTTGGAAGATATTCGGCCTCCCTCCGCGTACTGTTTTCTTGAAACACAAGATTCCCGGGCGTTGGGCTTCCGCTCGGGTTTTTTCCAAATTCTGCTACGGCTGAAGCGCTGGCCTCATTTCGCGCTTCCGCTAGTTCCGAATCGTACTCCCGATGCAGCGCTGGCTTCCTTTCCGTGCGTCTGCTCTTTCCGAATCGTGCTCACGCTGCAGCGCTGGCCTCATTTCCGCGGTTCCGCTCATTCCGAATCGTGCTCCCGCTGCAGCGCTGGCGTCATTGTTTCCGATGCCATGCCACGGCATGCAATGCAATGCTATGTTGTGTTCCGCTGTACGGTGCCATGCCTTCAGCTGCAGTGCTAGGATATGAAGTGCTTGACTACGCAGTGCCACGACATGCTGTGCCATGCTACGCGTTGATTTTCAACGCCATGCTATGCCATGTTCTGTTCTGTGCGCTGTGCGATGCCACCATCTGCGTTGCAATGCTTTGTGATGCAATTCTTCAATGCGCAACGCCACGCCATGCTATGACATACTACGCTCTGCCATGCTCTTCTACGCCCTGCTATGCCGTGCTCTACGATTCATGGCGCACCCTCTCGGGATCATTGCCCTGCTCGACATCCGATTGTGCGAATAGAGAGGAGACTTACGCCATGGTAAGGGATGGGAGGGAGGGGTGGGACGTTAGGTATGACACGAGCGCACCTAGTTTGTACTCCTCCTCCTCCTCCTCATTATCATCATCGTCATCATCATCATCATCATCATCATCATCATCATCATCATCCCCCTCCCCCTCCCCCTCCCCCTCCCCCTCACACTTCTGCTCCTCCTCCGCCTCCTCCTCCGCCTCCTCCTCCTCCCTCCACCGACCGCCCCATGACCCGAGCCTGTGGCAGGGTCATCAGCTCATCGTTATCGTTGTCGTCGTTGTCGTCGTCGTGGTCATCGTCTTCCTTCTGGGTCGACAGCACCGGCCGCAAGGCCTTCACGATAAATGCACGCAAATCCCAGGATTCCCCATATGTTCCATATCTTCTGGACGCTCGTCTTCCCCTCCACCTTTCACGTATTCTCCATATTTTCCTGGGGATCGACAATCATTTGTGTCTGTGTGCTTTTCCCCCTCCTGATTCTCATCCTCCTCATCCCCCCTCCCTGGACCAGCACAGGTGACGAGCAAGAACCTGTTTTTCGTGGGCAGCACCCGCGATCGCGGGCGCTGGCGGGCAGAGCCAGCGGGCAGCGCCGTGCACGGGGCGCACTGCGGCCGCGGCTGGACAAGCAGAGGACGGCCGCGGAGGCTGAGGGAGATGATCGGGCGCGGCCTGGCCGACCCCTCGCAAGCCATCCCCCCCTTCCTTGACCTCACCCTCGCCCTTCAGGCCCCCCTCCGGCCGCACACGTGCGCCTCGGGGCGAGGCGAGGGGGGGCGTCGCGGCAGGGGGCGGCTTGCCAGGGGTCGGTCGGGCCGCCCCTGGCGGAGAGGGACCAGGCCGTCGAGAACCCTCGGAGGACGGGCGCGCGCAGGCGCCCTCCTCCTCCTCCTCCTCTTCCTCCTCCTCCTCCTCCTCCTCCTCCTCCTCCTCCTCCTCCTCCTCCTCCTCCTCCTCCTCATCCTCCACTCCTCCCCCTCCTCCTCCTCCTCCTCCTCCTCCTCCCCCTCCTCCCCCTCCTCCCGTGGAAGTGGAAGTTACGAGGAGCTGTCCTTACGGTGCACGGTGCAGGACGCCGTCTGGTGTAGGCGGCGCGTTTCGGGAGCTCTGAGCCCCCCTCGGCGGGCATGGGCCCAAGTGGCTGCCGCGCGGCGCACGCATAGCATTATGCACGCGTGCTCAGGGAGGCAAAATGCGCATGCGACTGATGGCACATCTGGGAACCGATGAAAAGAAATACGTTGACTGCGATGAAGGCCCCCGTGATGACCTCGCCGGGACATGCGCCTTGAAGGCCTGGTGGTGCGAACGCGGCCTGAAGTAATCATCCCTGGGGGCAAACTTATCCTTGTCCTAGCCCCGCCCGAGAAACAGCGAGGAGCCACAAAGAACAGACGGCGGCCGTCGACGACGACGACGACGACGACGACGAAGGCGGCGGCGGGCTCGGGAAGGCGGCGGCGGCAACGCCTCGCGCGCCAGCGGCGGCGGCGTTGGCAACGACGGCGGCGGCGGCAGCGACGGCGACGACGGCGGCGGCGACGGCGATGACGGCGGTGGCGGCGGCCGCGGCGGCGACGGCGGCGGCGGCAAGGGGGAGGAGAGGGAGGGCGAGAGGACGAGATGGGATATAGACGAGTGAGTAGGGAGAGGGAGAGGGAGGAGGAGGAGGAGGAGGAGGCGGAGGAGGAGGAGG